CCAAAAATGAGGTGGGGTTTGGTGCTGGTCCTGCCAAAAAAGCCACGCCTACCCAATCACATGGGCACACCCACCTAGCCACACCCACAGAACTGGTAGTGAAAAAATTTGAATCCCACCACTGATGTCCAGTTTGGGGGTGGGGACTTGGGATAACTTTTTATACATAATGTCCATGCCTTTCGCCTCAGATCTTGTATTTCTTTTGTTACCACCACTTCATATACAGTAAAAGTACTTTTTTCTATAAAAATGGAGTCTAAGGCTTTCTTTTTTGGATTTTGAATGGAGCCACATCTGACACTACGGTTTGCCTCTTCCCTAAGAAAATGTTTTAAATCCCAGACTTTCTCTTTTTAAAGATAATTGAAATCATTGTTGATGTTCATCCTAGAGAAAACAGATTGTTAGCCTGTCTTTATTTTTTTAAAATAAAATCTTGAGTTCTTTTCTCACTCTCTCTTCTTTCTCAGGGCTAAGTTGCTGTTTCATTAAACATAGTTGCATTGTTTCCTCAAGAATCATAACTGTAATGGACAAGCAGAGATTGTATTCAAGTTTACATGTTATATTTAGGATATTATTATGTGACCCTTGAATATACATGATGTAAAAACTGACGGGGGGTGGGGGGGAATGCCCTGCCTGATCTTGAAGACTGAGGGATCACTCTTTCTGTGACCCATGCATACTTGAACTGGATGGATTGCTCCAAGAAAAGTTCCTATTCTTGGAATGCTGCTTTTATCACTATCAACTCTTTATTGCAAATATCATTCTTTTCAGCTGAGATCAGCAATCTGAAATAAAAGGCACACTTTCTGTCTCACTTCGAAGATACTGGTTCCTAATGCTGTTTGATGTGTTCACTTACACACAACTAAAGAGTCATGGGATAACAAGTCTTCAATGGCAGCTGGGGAAAAAAGATTTTTTAAAGTCCTTTTTAAGAGCTACTTGTTCTTGAGCAAACCATTTATTTAATTCTTTAAAAGTTGAGATAGTGCATTATGCATACTACCAAATTAGGGATGAACGTTCTATAAACATTTGCAAAGCTTCAGCAAGTTTTTTTTGCTGACGATGGAGTACCTCAAAGTCCTCATGCCATTTTAATGAAAATTTGAATCCCTCTCTGAATAGAGTGGGGAGCCTTTCAAAATTTGTGTCAGCCTTTCAAGGTAGGTCAGAGCTCTGTTGTTGCAGAATATAACAGAATCATGAAAGACTGAGTTTCCATCTGACCACTTATATGAAAGAGAATCAATACAGGATTATCTTGATCTTCTTTTTCAACTTCTCTCCCATCCCTGTATCCTTAATGTTTTTTCACCATTTTTTACTTTCTCTTTCAAGATTATCTCCTTATTCTTTATTGACCCAATAAATCAGTAAGGATTGTGCCCTAGGCATGAGAACATGATAGCATTGGTTACTCCTATGATTCTCCTTTGTCTAGACCTGGCTGGAGGAAGTGTACCTCTCCTGGTTCTTTTAGATCTCTCAGCAGCTAGGGCTTGGTCCTCTCTACTCAGCTCTTTGAGGTATACCAGATCAAAAGACAGAATTCATCAGAATACTAGAACTATATTTTATTAATATAAATTATAATAAAAAGAACATTGTAAAACTATGTGTCTATGGAGATTCTCAAACATCCAGGCCATAGTTGTCTCAAAGCTTTTTTTCTTCAAAGGGCAACGGGAGTGTTTCTTCCTCAAGGAAAAAACAGTTCAATTGCCTTTTGAAAGAAAAAAGCACCCTTGCAAGTCTGTACTTTTCTTTTGTCTCATACTTTAGTGTGTTGGGACAGAGGATGAGAGGGGATTTAAATTGCGAATTTTAAATTGTAGATTTTTAATGTTGCACACTACACAGAGACAGTGTGTGAGTCGGTCATCTATATAAAATTATTTAATAAATACTGAAACAGATCCCCAGAAGAGTAAGAGATATGAGAAAACAATACCAATTTTTGACAAGACAGTTAATTAAACATGATGTAAATTTCAGATGGCTGATACCCGAGGGAATACTGGTGATTTGGATGGAACAAAGATATAGACTGGATACTATAGAGAAAGCAGAGCAATTTTTTGATGAGCAGTTTGGACCATATGAGGAAGAAAGAGAGAAGGAGATGATAAAAAACAAGAGGAAGCATCAGGAGGAGGAAACACACAACCAAAAGACGATGAAATAGAATTAAAGGAAAGAGCAGAACGAGAAGGTGCAAAGACAAAAGATCTGAGAAAAAAAAGAACAACTAGAATAACAAGACCTATTTACAAGTAAAAATGTGGAAGAAGAAATACAATTCTTGTCAAATATAAAGGGACTGAATTCCCCTATGAAAAAGAAAAGGACTTTCAATAAATTAGGAAAGTTAAAATTAGATATAATTTGCCTTCAAGAAGTCCACATTAAAAAACAATATAATAAACTATTGGAATATCCTAAATTTGAGAAATTATACTTCTTACTAGCACAACAAAAGATAAGAGGTGTAGCCTTATATATTAAAGAAACAATAAATGCCAAGCAAATCTTTGCAAATGAAGATTGGAGAATTGTGATGGGCGGGGTAACTATAAATTAAAAACAGATACTTTTGGTAGAAATATATGCACCAAACAATAAACAAGAAAAGTTACACAAGAAAAGTACAGAATTGGAGTATGAAAATATCTGTACAGTAGGATACTTTAATACAATTGTAGATGCAAAACTTGATCACAAAAGCAGCAAAGCAAACAAAAAAGCTAGGAAAAATACTTTCAAAGACTTTCTTTAAAATGGTGGAAGAAATAGGTAATTAAGATGTATGGAGGGAGATGAATCCTAAGAGAAATCAATATACATTTTATTCAAATAGACATATGACCTGATCAAGAATATATATGATATGGATGCCAGTGGAATTAAAGTCAAATGTTCAAGAAATAGAAATAGAGGCAAGTGTCTGGGCAGATCACAACCCTGTGAGAGTCAACTGGAAAGGACAAAAGAAAAAAACGGAGATGGACATTAAACCAGTCAATACTAAAAGATGAGGAATTTATACAAACTATGGAAAGAGAAATGGACTTTAAAAAAAAAGAACAGGAAAGAAGAAACCTTGCTACAAAATGTATGGGATGCCCCCAAGGTGTATTCAGGGATTACTTATATCATATTGGGGGGGGGGGGGGGGGGGGAGAGATAAGAAAAAGAAAATAAACCAAAAGACATTAGAAGCATATTAAAGATTGGAATTAGACTTACATAAAGAACCACAAAAAAGACTTTAAAAAATCAAATGGAAAAAAAAACCACAAACTGAATTTGCTAAACAAACAAGAATTGGCTCTAAAATTAAAAATGCAAAACAATTTTTTTTTGAAAATGAAAAAAAAAACCTGGAAAATGGCTGGCACACAAATTGAAAATAGAGAAATGAAACTGATACATAGATTAGTAGATGAGAAAGGAACTTTGTATCATCAAAATGAGGCCAAATATGCTTTTTCAAGAGGCAACTGGACTATTTTCCTTGAAGATGTTTCACTTATCCAGGAAGCTTCTTCAGTTCTGACTGAATGATGGGGAATGGAAGGATTTATATTCCTTGTGGTCATCTGGTTGCTAGCATTCTGAGAGTCATTGAAGGCCACTTGGAGATTCATCTGTGCCTTCAAGGTCACCTGAATAGTGTAAATGGGTGTGAAACTTTTTTGAAACTGTTGAACGGACTGTTGTAAACAGGAGATAGGTGGTATCGTATCACTCCCCCTCTGTTGAGAGGGCAGTTAAATTTTAATGTAGGTGGCCTCTTTGACCCCTCTTTCAAACCACCAGTCCTCTGTCCAGAATGTGGGTTTTGCTATCTTCAAGAGTGGTCTTTGTCTTTCAAATGCAGATGGGTTGCTGAATCTGATGTTGTGCCATACAGTTATTTCGTTGCAGGAATATTTGATAATTTGTTTTTCCAACTTATGGAAAAACAAGTTATCATTCTTTTCCCAGAATTGCTGCTGGATCACAAAATAATGCCTTCTGAAACTCACCTATGGTGAAAATCCATCCTCTGTTTTTTGCAAGGCTAGTTTCCCACTGAGATGGGTTTTTTTGAACCCATCAGTAGGGTTTTGTCTTAGCTTGGCCAGATTTTTTGTTCTCATCCCAAAACAGGCATTCGAGAATGAGGGAAATGCATTAGCATTTTTTCCAGCACATTTTGCTAAATATATAATCGTTTAAAATAAAAAAAAATTAAACGTGTATTTTATAAAACTATAACGAAACAGTTACTTCCAGACGTGATTCTTTGCTACCATACATATTTGTTCTCCTACCAAAAATCTTTCCTCCGTTTCCTCACGTGCGACCATCTTTCTTTAAAAAAAACAACAAAAAAAAACCCGTCCAAGCATTTTCTCTGTTTACATTTCCAAGCCTTGGCACGCTTTTGCTCCCATCCAGGCAGAATCGCAATCTCGCTCCGCCCGCCTTGCTTTCTACCCTAAATTCTCCCCGGTTTTGCTCAGCCTGCCCCTTCCTTACAGTATTCGCCGAACTGCCTCTTGCTGTCTTCGGATGCACTCGTCTCCTTTCGGAAATTTGTGCCCCCGACCTCCGTTTCGATTGCCCCGGGAGTGGCAGAGGGTTACTGGGCAAAGCGAGGGCCATTCCTTTCTGCCAAGAAAGCAAGCAGACGGAGAGCCGTGCTCTTCCTCGTAGCCCTGTCCTCCTCTTGGATCATGAACGTGGATCTGTGCTTTGTCGGTCAGGCCGAGCAACTAAAATGTCTGCTCAACAGTTCCCGCTTTAACAGCAGGCGTTATTCTCCCTCCCCTCCCCCCTCCCGCGCCATTCCGCGGGTAGTCTGTCGGTCGTTCTTTTCCGCCGCGGCAGCTTACCCCCTTCGGGCATTTCCGTGGAGGCCGTTCGGTTCTTTCCGTGCACAGAGAGGAGGGAGGGGGCGTGCGCGGGGCGGGGGCGGAGGAGAGCCGAGGCATGTTCGGCGGCGCTTGCTCCCTGGCTGGCTCCTCTCTCCCTCTCAGTCGGCCGCTGCTGCCTGCCTGTCGCCGGGGCTGGGAGAGCCTGAGAGAGCGTGTGTGTGTTATGTGAGTGACGCGGCGGAGGTGTAGTTTGACGCGGTGTGTTACGTGGGGGAGAGAATAAAACTGCGGCGAGAGCCTAGGCGCGAACGAAAGCAGTGACGGAGCAGCCTGTAGCCGGTAAGAGGAGAAAAGCAAAGAGAAGGAAGGAAGGCGACTAACAGCCCGAGAAGAAAAACAGGGAGGGGCGGCAGCCACAGGGCCGCCACCACCAGTACCAGCAGCGGCGCGGCCGTTGAGGCGGGGTTGCCTCCCGAGCGGGTGTTCGGGGAGGGGGGGAGGGAGACGGCAGTCGTGGGGAGCGAGAGGGAAGGAAGGACGGAGAGCCGAGTCCCGGTCTGGCCACTCCAGCAGCGCCGGGTCGTCTCCCCCTCGGCCTCGGGGTGGCCTTAATTTAAAATGGAGGCGCCTCTTTCCCCGCAGTTGCTCCTCTCCCGCCGAGCCCAGCCGCCGCCGGCCCGCGTGAGGAACAAAGAATAATGGCGGATGGAGACGGCGGCCGGGCGAGCGAGCAGCGGCGGGAACGGCGCCGCCGCCGCCGCCGCTCTTCCTCCGTGGGGAGGGGACGGTTCGGCGGCGGCTGTCCAGGGTTCCGGGGAGGGGGCAGGAGCGGGAACTCCACTCTCCCGCCACCGCTCTCTTGACCTCGGCGCCTGCAGAGAGAAGCGGCCCTGGGCGATCGGTCCCGGCCGTCTTTCTCCTTTTGGCGTGGCAGCGCGGGAGGCTCCTTCCTCTTCTCCGGCGGTGAGAAGCCTCCGTGCGCTTCCTCGCACGGGCCTGCCTAAGCCTTGGCTGGTTTACCCGCGGGTGTCCCGTTTGGCTGCAGTGGTTGACTGGGGAGCAGCGGTTTTGCCCTGGCAGGCAATCCCCTTTTTTTCCAGCTTCTCTTGCCCTCCAACCCCAACGCAGCTTGGCCACGTAGCCCTAGGTAACGAGGAGTTTGGGGGCCCAGCCCCAAAACCCGCTTGGATTTTCCCGCCCCTCTCCTGCAGGGAGTTCCTTGGCAGTGTTGACGGGGTTGGGGCAGCCTGGCCAAGTTACATCTGCAGTCTCTGCCGTTCTTCCTCTGTTTCTAGAGTTCCACATAGCCCAATGTTTTAAATTCAAATTTTTAATTTTTATGACTGCCCAAAATGTGCACCGAGATTAAAAAGCTTTCAGAGTCCCTTTGTAATAAAGTTCTTTGAATCAAACCTACATTCTAGAACAATTTCCTCCCTCTCGGCGCTCTCTATATAGTGTGAAAGGCTGAGGCTATCGGAAACAAACTTGTATCAGCTTTTGAGAGAACTTGGCTTCACTTTTCCTCCAGTTTCATTTTCTGTATTTCACCTGTCTAGCATAGTAATCCATGATCACAGTAAAGATAAGAGATATATTAAATGAAGTGATTCTTTGTTAGTAATATACTTTGTGTAGTGATACAATGTATATTGTCCTAAACATACTATAAAGAAATCCTTCTAGAATTAGGGTTAGTAAAAACTTCAAGTGATAGTAATAGGTGATAAGTGATAGTAATATTTGGGTTTCTGTCTTGCAGTTATCTGTACATTTGCACTCCGCATTTGCCAGCTCAGAATATTCTAAGGCCTGAGAACATGTAATCATATATTATCTTGTTAGTATAGAGAAATATCATTAGCACTCAAAAAGCTGGCACAACATGTAAGGGAATTTTACACTTAAAATGCAGAGGGGTTTTTTCCAGTTTCAGATTAGTCTGTAATGTACATTATGTTTCTATTGATTTTTTAACTACCACCCACGTAGATTGGATATTAAAATATGAATTCTTCAAAACATTATTCAACTTGTGCAGACTGGATGCTATTGACCCCTTCCAAACCTGAAAAATGGCTCATGGGGATTAGAAACTCTTTGAAAACCAGAGGCTTCCACGACTAGTTAATCAGATTAGGATAAACTGGGTGTCCCTGGTGATGCTATCTGATTTAGATTTCACAGATTGCATTCTTAGTCATCTATCTGTAATTGGCAGCTAAATGCTTTGACAAAAAATAAAATTTGAGCCTAAAAGTGCTAAAACATAAGACACACTGGTACTCACATTCCTTTTTTTAACTTCCCTAATAATTGTCTTTCAGTCCAATACTTCATGTTAGTTATTGAAAAAAATACCAGGATTATCATATTTTATTTGATTATATACCATCTTTATTTTTGGTTAATGTGAGACAGTGTATATGCTGTTGCCTCCTATTTACACATAACAACCCTCTGATGGGCCTTGGGCTGAGAAAGAAATGACCCAAAGTCATCTCTAGATTCTAGACATATATTCTTTTCCATGTAGTGTAGTGCAAATAATACTATCTACTGCAGATAGCACTGAACTTCACAGGGATGCAGAGGTTTTAGTTTTGCAACATTAAGAAAGTCATAAGTTGCTCACTCAGATATAATTGGGGAAAACTTCATAACTTTAGAAGCTGAAATTCTTGCAGTGCTAAAAGGAAAATGTTTGGAAGCTATACCTTTTAAGTCATTCAAAAAGTTCTGGATTTTTTCAAATATTGAGGGTTATACTGCATTGCTTTATCTTTTAGAGTTTTGACCAATCATTCTGATTTTTTTTGATTAGTAGGATAGTATTCATATGCCAAGCACAATAATCTGGGATGCATTTATTGACTGCTTTCCTCCTCCTGTACTTTGAATAAAAGTTCCCGGTTTCTTTTTCTGTTCCATATGGATACCATCAGAAAATGAATATTTTAAAGAAAAGTAATCTATTTTCCAAGAGATGTTGCTTGTAAGGGGAGCTTTCCATTGGGTTGCCTATGCTGCAGGCCATAAATGGCCAAGTTTACTTTACAAAAATGCCTCTGAAAGCATTATTAGGATAAAGAGAAACTTGGAAAATGTAATGGGGCTAATAAACCTGGTTGCAAAAAATGCAGACTGTATAAGAGGACAAGAACAAGACTTGGTATCTTGTTTGTTTGCTTCCCCCCCCCAACTTTTATTTATAAATCAAAGGTGATGAGCATATCTAATACCTCTTCCTCCTATTTTCTCCACAATAACAACCCCAAGAGATAGGATGGGTTAAGAGAATGATGGGCCCAAAGTCATCCAGCAGTTGTTACTACAAACTACTACTTATTCAGATTTTTGCACCCTGATTTAGTAGCCTTAAAAAATAGGGATGAATGAATGTTGCAGTGCTTTAGTTTTCTGTAGAGTGTAATAGGCTGCTGTAATTTGTTTTCAAATGAATACATATTTTTTCCATCTTCATTTTTTTTGAAAATTTGATAATATTTCTAATTGCTACATTATATGTAAGGATTTTTCAGAAGAATTAAATGTACTTTAGCCAAGTGTTAAAAGCCTAACGTTGGAAAGCCTCACATATCCTTTTAATTGCCTTATTTAAAGTCTATTATTTAAACTTGAATCCCAACCTCAACTATGAAATTCAGATTTTGTATATTTCCATCTATTTGCTGTTCATCCAATATAAAAACAAAAGATGTTCCAATTTGTGTGGTCTACTTGTGGATTGTATAGAAAATTAGTTTTTAATCCAATAATTTCAAGTTTTCTGGCATGTTTACCTGTATCAGGATCATATGTGAAGATAAACAGTTCTCATCAACTGGACTTCTATTAAGCAATCATTTCAATGAGCCACAATTGACTCTTTTATGTCATACCAAGTCACAAATCATGGTTTATGCATCATAATAGCTGGATTCATATATTACTAAACAAGCACCAAACATATAACTTCTTGCACAATATGTGAATCAATTCATAAAGCTATCCCAGACCAGTTACTCCTGTTTACCCTGCATGTGCTGATGAACAAATGATTTTCACACTTTCTTCCCTTTAATATCTACCTGCACCAATTCATGATTGGGGGTGGGTGGGGGGATGTTCATTTTTGATGCCTTTGTGTCAATCTTGATTCCTGGCAGTTGCCTGAACTGGTAACTGCAGTATTTTTTTTAGAAGTGGTTTGTCTTTCGGTGTCTGTTTTCTGGGACTGAGAAGAATGACTGGCCCAAGGTCACCTGGTTTTGTGCTTAAAGTAGAACTAGAATGCAGAATCTCCCAATTTCTAGCATGGTGCCTTAATCACTATTCTTTGGTTCTTTGTGATACAGCAGAGAAATAGTCCCGCACACAGTGAAAATATATAGCCTATCATGATTTTGTCATAAAATGAAAAATGAAACTTTAACAGCTCTTATGGCTCAAGCTTGAATTGATGGGAAATGTGTGGGAGAAGTTTTCCCACAATTTTAATGCCTATCAGTGATGGGTCTCTGCTAAAGATCTCTTCTTAACTTCATTAATGATAGCAGAAAGTCTTGTCTGCCTTATGTTCTTATACCTGGTACATTTGCTAAGCTGTAAATGGTAGTTTTATTATAAAATTGGTTGGAATCATGTCAAAAATATGGCAAAACAAAACCAGAAATGCATTTTGATTGAAGTACATTATATAAAGCGAGAACCAAGCCTGCAACTCCTAAAAAGTTGTGTGTAACCCCTCAAATGTTTCCATTATAAGCACTCACTCCAGCAAACTTAAGAATGACCAGCCCAGAACATACCCAGCACTCATGGCTTTACACAGAAGAAAATTGGAAACACAAATATATATTTATTTAGCATATGGCAAGTAATGTAAATAGCTTCACTTAAGAGAAACATATCTGTTATTACTTACCTGTCAAGACTGTGAGAACCAGAGTACCCCCTCTGATTCACTTCAGCAGGCTTATGGTTATACTGTAGTTATGGTGTCCTAGTTACATATCTCAACTGCAAACTTATGTATATCACTTGAAAGTAAGGCTGAGCTTTGGAAGACTAACCTCCATTAAAATATTGGTCTATATGTGACCCATTTAAACCATGTGTATGCAAAAACCTAAAATTGCATTTTTTGAAGATAAGTATAAGACAAGTATAAGGCAATTATTTTCTATTAAAATTAAAGCTAAAATATTTATTAAATCAACTTTCTGCATTCTTGAAAAAAGCTTATAGTATATCAAATATACAATTAAAACACAACAAAACATAGCAGTCTAAACAAAGGGCTCCACAAACACATTGACTTCAGGCTTGTGAAAATA